AGCTGGGAAGGGGCAGGGGAGGTTAAGGTGGTGGACCTAGCCCTTCTGGGGTCACGATTTGTTTAGGCCAAGTGAGCACAAGTTGTGCCTAGAGAAGGAGCTGCCCCAGCTGGAACTGACCCACTTGGTGACAGGGTCTATTGAGAAAGGAGAGGCCTGGGTAGATAAGAGTCAAGAGGCACCCCCTTACCTGCCATGAGAGGTCCTTGTTTCTGTAGTCAGTAACAGAGAGGAGGGGGCCAGCCCAGTCCCTCTTCCACTTCCACCCGGGCAGTGTGTGTCCCCTCTGTGAGTGAGGGGCAGCGGCAACCTGGACTGGAATCAGCCCAGTGGTTCTTCGGCCCAACCAACTCGGCAATGGGACCAGAGGTATAGACACACAGAATCCCTGAACCACGACCAGGGCTAGGGTTATAAGGAGACAGTTTTCTGTGTAAAACGATGGCTCATGGTAAGAACTTTCCACATGTAGAACAGCTACCTCCAGAGGTAAGGAGCTCTCTGCTTCTGGGAAAGTTTGGGCAGAGGCTGGAAGATTCCTTGGTGGATTCAATTCATTCATTCATTCATTCATTCATTCATTCATTCATTCATAAACCCTTCTAATCATCCACGCAATATTTTTTAAGCACCAAACTTATGCCAGGTGCTGGACTAATTGATTCAACTGTGAATAAGATAGAAATGGCCTTTGGCCCTCGGGAAATATTGGAGCAGGGAATAGGGGACCATGAACTAGACCTAGAAGTTAAGGAAGGCTTCCTGGAGAAAACCACATTTGAAGCTGAAGCCTGAAGGCTGAGGAGGACTTAGGATAGAAGAGAAAAGTTCCAGAAAGAGGAGACAGCATGTGTGAAGGGCTAGAGAGAGCGAGGCCAACAGAGGAACAAATGAGCTCAGTGAGGGAGGGGTTATTGAGAGTACCAGAGTTGAGAGTGGGATCGGCATGTGTGAGCTTTATCCCAAGAGCCACAAGGAATCAATCAAGGGTTTTAAGCAAGGTGACAATGTGGTGAGATGTGCTTCTTGGCTGGTTTTCCCAGATGCAGACCTGGAGACAGGAATTCCTAGGCAGATAGTTTATATGGGAGGAGATTCCAGAAAATACCAGTAGGGCAGTGAGGAATTGAGACAGGGAAGGGAGTCGGCCAAGAAGCGTGTGTGGTCGAGCAAGTCACCACTGTGGGGGCTGGAGCTTATCCCTACCAGGGGACTCTGGGAGTCAGCATAGAAGATCCTTTAGAGTCATTCCTCACAAGGGGAGGGAGGTGGGTATTTATATATACCACATCCATTGGCCACTGAAGGCTTTTCTGGGCTGGGTAGGGCATGGACACTTCCCCAGCACTGTGGTCTTCCAATGGGGTAGAAAGAGCGGGCTGCATCGTGGGCCTTCAGGCAGAGATGCAGGGGCTAGCTTGGAGTGGGACCTGAGGGGACATGGGTTAGCACTACTTTGGCTGTGGGGTGGAGGGACAAGGAGGGGCCTATGGGAACCTGGAAATCAAGGAGGAGGCAACAGGAAGACTTGCCCCAGCAAGAAGATGTTTGTGGCCCAAGCTGAGGAGAGTGTGGTTATGGGAGAAGGAGACAATGTCAGGATGCAGAGGTGCCTGGCCTGGTGACAGATGTGGAGGAATGAGGAACACTGTAGAGCATTCACAGACTCTCAAAGCTGCAAGGGCCTCCTGCACCTCCCAGGGCTCTCCGCAGCCTCACACTGCTGCTGCTCCCACAGCCCTCCTCTGCTCACATGCATCAGAGACACTGGCACAGACCCCAGGGCACTTGGGGGCCCTCCTGTAGAGACCACGAAGCATGTTTAAAGAAAGATGAAGGTGCTGGGGCAACTGCTTAAATAACAAAAATGGGCTGTTGTCAGCACCAGCCTGGGTGTGTGTGTGTGTGTGTGTGTGTGTGTGTGTGTGTGTGTGTGTGTGTGTGTAAATGAGAGAAAAGCAATCCAGCGGGGGTCCCTACCCTGAATGTCACCCTACTTTCCTTATCTTCTGCCATGCCCATATCTGTCTCCTGTCACACATGGGCCTTATGAGGACAGATGCTGTGCATGGCTTGTTCACTGGCCCCTGAGGACTAGCCCGCAGCAGGTGCTCAGTCTGTTGAATGATGGAACTGTGAATGGTCTCTGCCCTTCTATGCTTCATGTCCTTGAGAATGAGGAGGAGGGAGGTGCTGGGGACAGTCGAGTGTTTGTTCTAAGGACGTGAACCCACCAGGGTGGGGGAGGATGGTTGGAAAAGGGGATGGGTTGTTGAAGCAGCGAGGGAGAAGAGATGGGGTGGTGTCATCAACCAGGGTTTAGAGTTGCAGCAATGATCGATGGCAGGCTGTGTATGGATGCCCGGCTCCTTCCATCCCCAGCTTCGATGACTCTGAGGTCCGAGTTCCTCACTGGGTCTGGTTGTCCACAGTGATGACTTGACGGGTAATGGACCTTTGATGGGTCACCCTCCCTTCTCTGGCCCCCTTTCTCTCTTCCCTCCTGGAGCTTCCTGGGACTACCTCCCACATAAATTACCCCCATGGTCTCAGCATCTGCTTCTGAAGCAACCCCACACCTGGGACGGATGCATCAGACCAGCAGACTCAGTCACACATCCTTTTCTAGTTAACAGGGGAGGCTGGGGAAGCGAGAATCAGGCATGTTCAGCTTCTGGGTTGGGGAAGTGGCTCTGATTCCCACCGGAACTCTTAGGTGGTCCGTTTTGGCTGCTATAACAAAATATTATAAACTGGGTGGCTTATAAACAACGGAAATTTATTTCTCATAGTTCTAGAGGCTGGAAGTCCAAGGTCAAGATGCTGGCAGATTCAGTGGGCCCACTTTCTGGTTCGTAGACGCTGCCTTCACACTGTCCCCGCATGGTGGAAGGGGCGGGGCCTTTCTGTATAAGGGCAGTAATCCCACGTAGCCATCTCCCAAAGGCCCCACCTCCTAATACCACCACTTTGGAGATTATGATTTCAACCTATGAATTTTGAGGGGACACAAACATTCAGACCATAGCAGAAGCCAATGGCATATTCAAATTATAATAATTTGTGGGAAGTTTGTTTATAAAGGGCCTATTTATAAAGGTGTAGGGTTTGGAGGGAGGCACAAGATTCACAGTGGCAGAGCTATTACTACCCCTGGGGCTGAAGGGATGGAGGGAGGGGTGGTTGCTGAAACTCAGAAGGAAAAGAGAGCCATAAAGTGGCCCCCTGGGGGGGAAGAGGGGCGCAGTATGCCCAAGGCTGCTTCACTGAGAGACGCTGAGAGGGGAAAACGCCTAACTCCCACTGCCTCCTTCCCTCTAATCGCCTGCCCAGTGACAGGCAGGCTCAGACACGTCAGCCTCCCGGGCCAGAGTAGGGTGAAGCAGGGTGAAGGCAAGATCTGGAGGGCCAAGGGAAGATAGTTGATAAAGTGGGGAATTTCCCGAGTGGAATGGAAACAAAAACGTTGTGTTGGGTCTTCAGTCATGGGCGAGGGCTCCGCAGCGGACCCTCAACGAGAGCGAGCCGTTCCTTCTCCCTGGCCGTATCCCACCTTTCTCCCCAAGAGCCCACCTTTCTGAGTCCTATTGGCCTCTCCAAAGCGGTGCTCAGACTGGAGGGCCTACGACTCAAAGAGACCTGGCTCTGCCAGTAACCTCTGTAACCACAGTTAAATCTCTTCTTCTGGGCCTCACTTTCCCTATAGGTAAAATCAAAAGCGTTAACCAGATGTCCTTTCAGGACCCCTTCCATAGCACTGACCTTCTAGAAAGGCTCATTGCCCCCTTCCAAACAGTCCTGAGAAGGGGGTGAAACAAAGATTGTCCTTTTGGGGAAACCAAGGCCCTAGGAGCAGAGGGCCTTCCTGGAGGTCACTGACCATGTGGGTACTCGATCGAGACTCCCATTTTTGTCAGAGCTGTCCCCTGAGCCAAGCCTGCCCTCTCCCCGCTTTCCCCCGCCTGTGTAGCCTCCACCCATGTTTATTTTAAATTAGTGCGGTAGCCAGTGTGAAGTTTCAAGATTTCTCTTTTGTTCTTGTTTGTGTGTGTGGCTGTGAACGGAAACAGGTAAGAATGGTGGTTTCAAGCAGGTTTTTAGAACTCACCGGTCCCTAAGAGAGTCAGGGTCAGTGTAATACCACTTTGGGGCTTTTGAGCCTAAGGGTCCACATAAACCTCAAGGGACTTAATTTGTAGAGAGTTTCAAAGAGAATCAGGAGGGATGTGCTGGTAACTCTAAGCTCCTCTGACCACAGCCGTGCCGACAAAACCCACCACATCTAAGAGGCCACCCTGAATCTTGCCATCCACCCCATGGGACTGTTTTGAGGTCTATGTTGCAGGCACATGGAACAAAGACCATTTCATTTTATATCAGACCCTGAGGCTCTGGCGTTTACTGTATGCCAAGGCCAGGAGGCCCTCAGACACCACCTGTTGGAACCACTGCTCTCTTTCCTCAGATTGTGGGACGGGGGAGAGCTGCTCAGCCTGTCAGATAGGTTCTGTTGAAGTTAGAGTTTCCAAACTGATTGCTCCAGATTATGGTCTGCATTTTTGCCTTGTACCATGTTTTCCCACATTGGTTTATTTTTACAAGGTGAAACAAATTGCCAACAATTAGGAATCAAATTGGGATTTCTGGTTACGTTAAGAATTTAGAAGACTTGGCAACACTGGGCTTACACTCTTGAGAATGTCTGGCCGGTGCAGAGCTGCAGCCCCCTCTAGATAAGACACGTGCCCTTCGGTTCACCACGGTCCTCACCATTCCTTATTGTCTCCCGGCTTGGAGCTGAATGTCCATTGCCATTTATCACCGAGTTTATGCTGCTGATTCTCAAATTCGAGAGTTCTGAGGAAAATAAAATATTTCGGGTCCCTACATTTCCAACAAAAGTGGAAAAAAAGTTTATTAATATTTCCTGCCTGTCCCTGGGTTGAACCGCCTGACCCGTTGCGTAGCGTTGCTAGAGTCGAAGTTTTGTCCCCATCCTCTCCTCTGCCACAACTACCACCATCACGATTGCCATCACATCACATTTATTGGTCCTCTATCTGGTTGTATACACAACAAGACAGGTCAAGATATCTCTTAGTTTGTCTGGAAGACAAAGCTTGGTGGGCAAAGAAGACAGCGCAAACAGAGCAGCTGGGAGTTAGGTCTAATAAAATGAAGAATTCACCACGCTAGAAAAGGCTGCAAGGGAAAGTCTTGAATGACACCAAGCAGCCTGGTGTCATTAGCCTGTTGGCCTAAGCTTAATTTCTGGGCTTGAGAATATCTGAGAGCCGAGGCAGTTTGGACAGGAAGGCTCAGGGCTGGCCTATAAATTCAACCACCTCACTGAGATGAAAAGCCTCAGTTTCCCATCAGTCTAATGGGGATATGAAGACAGACGGGCCCTGGTCCACGCTGTGAGAACCCCTTCAGTCTGAGCATACTGGTCCTCGCAAGACCCACTGTTCTCACCACACTGCTCCACTCCGGTTTCCCGGAGGCTCCCCCAGAAGCCCTTGGGGGGCGTACTGCAGGCAGGCTTTCCCTGTCAGATGAGGCAAGCATTTGGCACGGTAGGAGAATCTCAGGTGACCGTGATTCAGGTTACACTCCACATTTTGTAAGCCAGACTGTGGAGTCCGGTCACAGGTGCCGAGGAGGTCATCGTCCCAGCCATTGTCTGCGTCCCAGACCTGCACCCTCAGGGGCCCCCCTGTGGCCAGGAGCACGTCCCCGAAGTCCAGCGTTGTCACCCACCGGGGGTGGTTGTTATTCCACACTGTGCCCGTCCTCCGTTCCTGGCCTCCAAAGAAGACCTTCACATAGGCGTCTGTGGCAGTGAATATGTCTCCCCACAGACCACTGGCCTGGAAGTTCATAACCTCCAGCTCGGCCAAGCCCCTCTTCCGGGGACAGCAGTCCTTGTCGGTGGCCCCTGAGCCATGGCACACACACTGGCAGGGGTCGTGGGGGCTCTTCTGCTGCCCTGGAGGGCAGGGCCGGCTGCAGTCCCTCCAGCGTGCCCTGCGCATCACATACTTGCTCACGGCTTGCCTCAGTGCCTCCCGCCGTGGGTCCTGGCTCTCCAAGAGCACATGCAGAGGCTCTAGAGTGTAGTCCACTAGGCTGGGGCTGTCCTGCAGCGAGGCCACCCAGGCTGAGAACTGCTCAGGCCCAGCGTGGTTCCCGAACAACAGGTCATGCACGGAGGTGTGGTGACCGCCTACTACTTCGGAGTAGCGTTCCCGGTAGGCCTGGTGGAAGGAGTCTGTCATCTTGAGCTGCTTCTTCTTCTCCTCACAGGCCTTGATTTTCGATGAGGAGCTGGCAAGGCCACCTATGCTGACCTCAGCCTCGACGGCCAGGCAGTCTCCCACCTCGTCAGCTGTGAGCCCTTCCAGGGCCATCTCGCAGGTACGCAGGGCGGTAAGGGCCGAGATCTGGCCGCCCAGTTCCATGGAGCGGATGAAATGGGTACCATAATTGGAGATGAGCCTGAAGTAGTCAGACTCTGTGGAGGTGTTGAAGTCGGGGGGCAGGGCCCTGACAGCCTTCTTGAAATTGGGGTGGAGTGGGGGAGAGTGTACCAGGTGAAAACTGTGGGGAGAGGAAGACATCAGGTGGGCCCGGCAATGGGTAGTCTTTCCTGCATTCCATAACTCCTTCAACATTGCTCAAGGTTGCATGTAATCGGCAGAACTAGGGTGTGAACCCAGGAAACCCACTCTGTCTGCAGCCCCTCAGTGACCTACCTATTTTGTATAGGGATTTTCACTTTTCCTTTTCATTCTTTAAAAATTTATTTTAGGCGAGGCAACCCTTGTTTGACCTCACAGATTGCAAGGAACTTGTCAGCTTAAAATCCCTTAATTTTTTTATTTTTTACACCTACAGCACCTGGTCTTCCTAGGTGGTCTCCCATCCAAGTACTAACCAGGCCTGACCTTGCTTAGCTTTCGAGATCAGAGGGGGCTTGTTCACGGTGGCAAGGCCGTAGTCACTTTTCCTTTTCAAAATAAGTTTTTCTTTCATTCATTTTATTTATTTATTTATTTATTTATTTATTTATTTATTTATTTATTTATTTATAAAGGAAATGATACCACACTGATGGTATTCTAGCATTAGGACCTAGCCCTGTGGCCTTGGTCTGTTTGTCCCCTGGATTGGGCCCAGTATGGCTGGGCTCCAGACAGCTCTGGCCACAGAGGCAGGAGAAGCCCTGTCTCACCGCGGGGGAAACTTGGCCTCCTGGTGTGAGGAATCGGGACAGGTGACTCTGGGCTGCTCCTGGAGACCATTCATTGCTCAGGTGTGGGACCTAGAGCCCTGAGGGCTGGCGGTGTGACCGCTCTTGCTTAGCACTGTAGCCCTAATTCCCAGCACAGTGCCTGACAGGGCAGGAATGAATAGTGGATGAAGGAGGCCCAGGGATGGGGGGACGTAACCAGATCTCCTGCCCACAGGTGACTGGCAGTGCCCAGGAAAGAGGGGGTTGGGTGCTCAGTAGGGCTGAAGGTACCGTGTTGGGGCTCTCAGCACAGCTTTCTTGCTTCCCTTCAACCTGTTCCCTCCCCAGGGTTCTTCCAGATCAGGGCCACAGGGCACTGGACCACCTGGTGTGTGAGAACCAGGACTGTGGTTTCCCCCTGGCGGAAGCAGCCTCTGCATCCCCATCCTGCCATTCTAGGGATCCGAGACCACCCTGAATTCAAGTCCCATTTTTGGAGACCTCTCCACCTCCACCCCCAGCACTCACCTATAGAAGCGACACTCCACCAAGTCAGTGCTGAAGCTGTACTGGTCCTGGTGGGTTTTCTGGGCGGCGAAATCTGCCGCCTTGGAATGCGAGCCTGCCACTGCCACGCGAGCACTGCTGCTGGGCTTGGGATTTACCTCCAGCCCCACCTGCCAGTCGTTGCGGATGCTGCCGGCCGCATTCTTAGCCACGGCTTCTGTGGAGCTGAGCTTGGCTCTGACCACATGGCGCTGGCAGCCTGAGCCCTGGGCCCGCCAGTCGGTAAGTGCCAGGGGCAGGCGTTGGAGGGCGCCCCGCTGCAGGGCGTTGTGGCAGAGGGTGCAGGTGCCATCGGGCCGCAGAAAGTGCTGTGTGTCCACCGGGAAGGAGCCTGAGCGCTGGAGGCTGGTCACATCCACGCCCTCCCCCGCCAGCCATGAGCCAGGCACGAACTTGCGAACACGTCGGCACTCAGAGCGGGCGGCAGTGCGGCAGGGGGCAGGGACGGGCGTGGGCAGCAGCAGCAAGAGGATGCCCAAGAGGAGCACACAGGTAGCCATGTTGCTGCGGAGACAAGGAGGCGTTTGGGATCGTGAAGGCTGGGGGCAGAGGCGTGGAGGATGGCTGACCCCTTCCCCCAGAGGTGGATAACAAAACACTATAGAATGGGAAAGGAATGGGATATCCATTAGGTCATTGAATGTCAGAGCTGGAATGGCCTTTACAAACCTGGTCTCCCCAACCTCCGCAAAAAACACATCGTATAGCTGTGCCTAGAGTGGGGAAGTGACTTGCCCAACAATTACACAGCCAGAAAAAGCCCACTGCTAGGATTTCACTATTTAAGGCCTAATGGAGATCCAGATTGATGGTTCCATCCCCAGACCATAGTGGCTGCTGGTGAGGAGGAGGCTCTGTGCACAGAGGAGGGGACTGTAGCAGATTTGGGGAGGTACCTGGGGCCTCTGGAGAAGACTGGATTCTGGAGAAGTGCCATTTTGGGCCTCAGAACAAGTCGTGCTTTCCCCTCCCCACCTCTCCCGTTCTCTCTCTTTCCTAAGTGAAGTTGTACATCCTCTTCATTCTCCCCATTTGCCCGTTGGGGCCCTCTTTCTGAGCTTCATGGGAGAACATCAGCTTAAATTCTAGAATAAAAGCTGTCCATTATGCTTACACCCTTAGATCCTGTATGGGGAGGGGCCTTTAAGCTTGCTCTCTAGATCTCCTCCTGATGCTAAGTTTCCTCTTCGGCTTTCCCTGCCATTCTGTGTGGAATTCCGCGGTCATGACGCAAACTATTGCCCACTATTAGACGATTAGCTAGAAGTTTCTTCTTCATTTTGAGGTGGCTGTGGAGTCTCACCTGGCCTGCGTATGATCTGGAATAACCTCTCCGCTACCCAAACTGAGCTCCTCAGAGCCTTTCCCTCCAACACTGGCCAGTTCCTCTGAGACACGGGGGATTATGGATAGAAGGAACTTCCCCTGCATTCTAGCTGGAGCCCTCTGTGCCCTACCAAAAGGAGTGACTTGAATGGTGGATTTCCATGCAACATGGCAGGCCCCAGGGAGGTGAATAGGAGAAAGAGAATCTTCAAAGGCTCCCAGATTACCCCACTTAAGAAGCCAGCACAGTTCATATCCTTAATCCAAGGAACTCAGTCTCCGTCTTGGCCCTCATCCCGTTATCTTCCTGGAAGCCTGTTTCCAGTCTTCTTAAAAGCTTTCACTGTCAGCATTTGAAGGGGCCTTAGAGCTACGTATTCTAACCTCTTCCTTTTGTATATAAGGAAACCGAGGCCCAGAGTAAACAAGAGGCAGCCCAGAGGGTTAGTGACAGCACAGTCTGGAACCCAAGTCTCTTGTCTTACAGGTCATAGCACTTCCTGCTCCATCAGGCACTTCCTCCAAAGAAGCAGCCCCACTGCTATGCCACTCCGTCCCCACCCAGGGACCCCGGCCTCCCGGACTCCCTGCTTCCTCCATACCTGGAGTCCTATGTTGAGATACTCCTTCACGGATACCTCTCTCCCGACACGAGGCTCCTGAAGTGGTGGTGTCTGTTCTCCAGTCAGGGTTACCACACAGCTTGACACTAGGCCACCGTTCGCATCACTGCTACTTCCTGCCCTGCCCCCCTAACTGTGGTCACAGGTCCCCTCTCTCTCCCCGCCCTCACCAGCACCTACCCTGTCCTCACCTCCTCATCCGGCCCTGCTGACAGCCCTCAGGAAGCAAGCTCTGAGGGCCATCGGCTCATCCTCCAAGCAGAGCAACCTGGAGCGCCGGGGCACGGGGCCTGGGGCAAACAGTGAGGCTTAGCATGGAGCAAACACAGGGGCCTGAGGATTTGAAGATTCAACTCTGGTGTTGATGAACAGGCCAGCATTTGATGAACAGGTGATTTCCCTGTTTCTGACCCACGATATCCTATGTGTGAGACATAAGAGGCAGTACAAAGTAGGAGCTCACAGCCTGGGCTTGGGAGCTGGGCTGCCCGGGCTTGGGCTAGCTTGGTTGTGTTCTAGCTATATGGCCTTGCAAACTTCTATAGCCTCTCTGTGCCTCAGTTTCCTCAACTAAAAATAGGGATAACAATAATTTAGACCCCATAGCTCATGAAAATTTGGGGAGTTACTTCGTGTGAAGTGCTTAGAACAGTGCCTGGCCCTCAGCCAGCATTAATACACATGACCATTCCTTCTTCCCTGAGCAATGAGGTGGGGTGGGGTGGGAATAAGCATTGTTTAAACTCCCCTGTCCACTTTCTGCCCACACCTATATCCCAGCCCAAGCTCTGAGCCCCAAACACACACCCCAGGATAAGGTCTCCTGCTCCTCACTTTGTAAGGAGAACCAGTGGCCATGCTGGTCCCCAGCCCTGGCCCGTGTTTGTAGTCACAGGGTGGGTGGGCAGCTGTGGGACCCTGCTGGAAAAGAGAGCTGGGTGGGACCATAGGCTCCGGGTCTTCTTCACCCATCATCCTATCTGAGATCAGAGTAGGTGATGTTTCCAGGGGTTGATTGACTCACAGGGCAACTTCTAAGGGGCAAAATCACACTGGCCAGAGGTGGAGACATCTAGGTAAGTGGGGAACTGTTCTCATGTTTTCACGCTCCTACTGCGTAGGTTACGGGAACAAATAGCCACAGACCCTGGACCACGTGTGACACCATAAGATGGCTCATCTCTTGAGTTCATGTCCCCTCCTGTGTCCCCTGTTCTTATGGGAAGAGGGGCTTACCCTGCCTTCTTGGAACTGACCCCATCTCCTCCCCACATCCTTCCCCAGAAATTGCAGCCTCCTGACCCCTTTCTAGTCCTGCCCATGGCCTGACTCAGATGCCCAGGCTATGGGGAGTTTAGTTCTGACTGTGCTCAGAAGGTCAGTTTGAGGGACGTGGAAACTCTGCAAAAAATCTGTAGGAAGAGAAAGGTGAGGTAGGGGGAACAGGTTCTAATCCCAGCTTCACTGGGAACTTGCTGCGTGACTGTTGGCAGTAGAGTTTCAACCCTTATTTAAGTGAGTTTCTTCATCTATAAAATCAAAAAAGGACTTTAGGATTTTTAAGAATCCTTAGATTCTTAATGATGAAAAGTACATTTAGCAGGTTTTGCTAGTAGATGAAGTGGCTAGTACCCTTCAGAAGATGCTGGTGGGGGGCAGTCCATTAAAGAGCAGTGAAGACATTGAGTTTTACAACTGCTATTTTTGGCCTACATAACCGATGACAGCTGTCCTCTCCAGTTGAAACTTAGCACTTGAAATGTGCTTGAAGCACAGTTTTTCCTCAGGTACATAAGTTTCAAATGCCAGATACCGCATATATGGTTTATTATGAACAACTTTGTTGAAATATAATTCACATACCATACAATTCATGCATTTAAAGTGTACAATTCAATGGTTTTTAGTATATTCAGAGTTGTGTACCCATAACCACAATCAATTATAGAACATTTTCGTCACCCACCAAAGAAACCCTGAACCCATTAGCAGTCTTGCTCATTTTCCCCAGCATTAATTTACTTTCTGCCTCTATGGTTTTTCCTATTTTGGACATTTCATAGAATCATATAAGATGTGACCTTTCGTGTCTGGCTTATGTCACATAACAATATTTTCAAGGTTCATTCACGTTGTAGCAAGTATCAGTACTTCATTCCTTTTCATGACTAAATAATATTCCATTGTATGGATGCCCCACATTTTGTTTATCTATTTATCAGTTGATGTATATTTCAGTTGTTTTCACTTTCTGGCTATTAAGAATAATGCTGCTATGAACATTTGTGTACAAGTTTTGCGTGGATGTATGTTATCATTTCTCTTGGGTATACACACAAGAGTGGAATCGCTGGATCACATGGTAACATTTTTAGGAACCACTTTCTTATGTGGCTGTACCATTTTACATTTCTACCAGCAGTGTATGAGGGTTCCAGTTTTCCCATATCCTTGATATTATCTGGCTTTTTGATTATAGCCATTCTTGTGTGTGTGAAGTGGTATCTCATTGTGGTTTTGATTTGGATTTCCCCAATGTCTAATGATATTAAGCATCTTTTCATTTGTTTATTGGTGGTTGTATATCTTTTTTGGAGAAATTTTTATTCAAGTTCTTTGCCCATTTTTTTTTGAAGTGTGTTGTCTTTTTATTGTTGATTTATAATAGTTCTTCGTGCATTTTAAATTCTAGACTCCTATCAGATATATGATTGCAAATATTTTCTCTTATTCTGTAAGTTGTCTTTCACTCTCTTGATGGTATCCTTTTAAGCACAAATTTTTTTTATATTGATGAACTCTGATTTATCCATTTTTTTCTTTTGTCATTTTTACTTTTAATATCATATCTAAGAAGTCTTTACCTAACCTAAGGTCATGAAGTTTTCCTCCTATAATTTCTTCTAAGAGTTTTATAGCTTTAGCTCCTACATTTAGATTTATGATCCATTTGAAGTTTATTTTTGCATATGGAAAGATGTCCAAGTTAATTCTTTTGCATGTGAATGTGGTTACAAAATATTTACTCTTGACCGAAAAGTTCCATGAATACCCTACATAGAATATATGAGGACAATACTGATCCTGATTGCATCTACTTATATACTCTATGCCCGCTACATAAACGACAGGAACTGTAGTCAAAGAGGTCCTTCAACAAAACAAATGTTTATATAATAATTATTGTACATATTTTAGAGATCCAAAATGCAGTCACGGTTGTTCCATTCATCCTATGATCATTCTTTATTCCCTATTCTTTGCAGATTTGTGAGACTTTGGGGTTCTTCACTGCTCAAATGTTTTACCCAGAGTTACGTTTGAGTTTTCATCTTCAGTCTCATGAAATGAGTTGAAAGATTTTTCCTCTTATTTTATTCTGCGGCAGTTTGTGGAAGGTTGGCACTCATTTTTTGTAGTTGGGTAGATTTTTAACTGCTTACTCCATGTCTCCAATAGTTATAGCTCTATTCAAGTTTTCTGGCTTTATGCTGGTATCAGTTTTTGGCAAGTTACATTTTTCTAGGAAATCTTTCAGTCTGTCTAAAATTTCACACATGTGGGTATGATGTTATTTACAACAGTCTCTCTCTTTCTCTTAAAAAAATCTTTCTGAATTGGTAGTGATATCCCTTTTTTAATTACGGATTTTTAAATTGTGGTTTTCTCTTTTTTTTCTAGATCAGTCTTGTTAAAGAGTTTTGTATGTTTTATTAAATTCCTCAAAGAACACGCTTTTGGCTTTATTGATCTTCTCTATTGTATCACTATTTTTCATTTTATTAATTTCATTCTTATCTTTTCATGTCCTTCTCTTTTCCTATATTCTTTGGGCTTCTTTTATGGTTCTTTTTCTAACTTCTTGAGTTGAATCCTTTGGCCATTAATTTTCAGTCAGTCTTCTTTCTTATTTTAAAAATTGTACCTTTTGACTCCCTTCACCCATTTCACCCATCCCCTCGATACCATTTCTGGCAATCACCAATCTGTTCTCTTTATCTATGAGCTTGATTTTTTCTGTTTGTTTGTTTTAAGATTCCACATATAAGTAAAACCACATAGTATTTGTCTTTCTCTGTCTGACTTACTTCACTTAGCATAATGCCCTCAAGATTCATCCACTTTGTCATGGCAAGATTTCCTTTTTTATGGCTGAAAAATATTCCTGTGTGTGTGTGTGTATGTGTGTGTGTTGCATTGTCTGTATTTATTCATTCATTGGTGGACACTTAGGTTGTTTCCATATCTTGACTGTTATAAATAATGCTGCAGTGAACATATCTGCATATATATTTTTGAGTTAGTATTTTTATTTTTTTTCAATAAATACCCAGAAGTAGAATAGCTAGATCAGTCTTTCTTCTTTTTCAATATACGTATTTAAGGCTGTACATTTCTCTAAGAATATCTTAAACTGCATCTCTAAAGCTTTGGTATAAAGTATTTTCATTATTGCTTAGTTTCATAATATTTTATAAATTTCCTTATGATTTTTCTTTGACCTGTGAGTTATTTTTTTTAAAGTATGCTTTTTACATTTTCAAGAGAATGGAATTTTAAATACTCTCTGTTCGTTATGGATTTCTAACATAGTTGCACTGTAGTCAGAACATGTTGTCTGTATGACAACCATGCTTTGATGTACGCTGAAATTTTCTCTATGGTCTACTAAATGTTTATTTCGTAAATGTTCCTGTGTACTTGAGAAGAATAGCTAATTTGCTAAATTTTAGGTGTGGGGTTTTATGGTGAAATATATGATCTCTTGATATACTAATTATTGAGAGAATCTCCCATTGTGAGGAAAGATTGTTCAAAATCTATAGATTTCTTCCTATAGCTAGAATTCTGTCAACTTTTGTATATGTTTTGAGGCTGTTTTATTAAACGAGTTTAATCTTGCATTGTCTTCCTGGTGAATTGAACTCTTTATGTAGTAACCCTTTTAATCTAAAATAATGCAATTTTGTCTCATATTTTTTCTTTAATTAAACTTATTGGGGTGACATCGGTTAATAACATTATATAAGCTTCAGGTGTACAGTTCTATAATACATCATCTGCATAGTGCTTTGTGAGCTCGCCA